TATGTATAGATATATATATAGATATATGTATAGATATATATATAGATATATGTATAGATATATGTATAGATATATATAGATATATATATATATATATATGTATAGATATATAGATATATATATATATATATGTATAGATATATATAGATATATATATATATATATGTATAGATATATATAGATATATATATATATATATGTATAGATATATATAGATTATATATATATATGTATAGATATATATAGATATATATATATATATATATGTATAGATATATATAGATATGTATATATATATATATATATATAGATATATATAGATATGTATATATATATATATATATATATATATATATATATATATATATATATATATATATATATATATATATATATGTATAGATATGTATAGGGCTAATCTGAACTTAGCTTATACATACCACCAAAGTTTCAATTGTCAAGCTCCCTTCCCAAACAACACTTAACACAATATAATAAGCTTCATGTTTATTAATATGTGCATGATAAAATTAAATGACTTTAAGTAGAATATAATTTATCATCTAAAATATACTATTTTGTTTCTTCGTTATATGAATAGTTCGGTTTGGAAGTTCACCTATAGATGATGCACTGATTCAAAGAATCGAAAAAGTAACAGGAAAACCGGTTCACCATTTTCTAAAGCGTGGTATATTTTTCTCTCATCGGTAAGCATTCATTCTTTTTTAGAACATTTGCCAAAATAATTTAGGTGTGTTTTTTTTTAATTTATAAAGTGCATTTTTTTGGTATTTGTATTGAAAATTATATATCATTTCCATTTCAAGCGACATGCACAGGATTCTAGATCTTTATGAGCAGAAAAAGCCTTTCTACCTATACACTGGCAAGGCCCATCATCTGAAGCCATGCACCTGGGACATCTTGTTCCATTTGTCTTTACTAAGTAAGTAGAGTAAATCTCGCTAAAGAATCATTGGTACAAATTTACAGCAGTGTCACAACCAGTGTAGCTATTGGGAAAGTTAATAGAAAGTAATTTAAGGATAGAGAGCAGCATAATAAAAAGTATTATACTGAAATGAAAATGAGAAGGCTATAGTATGACATTACTGAAGTGAACCTCTGACACTGCGTGCTAAAGCTAAATACTTAGACAATATATATTTATGGGGAGGTGGCAGAACCAGGATTCAACTATTTCATTTAAATCATAGGTTCCAACTTATTTTGGGTGGCGACCCCTTTTTATAAAAACCAGCTGACTCATTACTACAATCACTGCTGATGTATGGCCCCTCAATCCAAAGATCTGCAGGGTCCTCTGTCCTGTGCCATCTTCTCAATTTGACTCAAGGTGTAGCTGATCTTTGTAGTTTCTGCTTCACAATCCTGTTGCTAGGTGTTACTTTGTGCTTTCCTTGTGGGTCCACCTCAATGCCCACATTGATATTGGTTGGGCCAGCAGATCCTGAGTATTTGTCTGAGTCATTCCATTTCCCTTTCAATAGAATTCTTTTGAAAAATTTCTCTGGCACTGAGAGGAGAGTGATTCCTCTGTAGCTTTCACAGTAACTGAGGTCACCTTTCTTGAAGAGCTTTATCTGATGGTCTTTATCTGATGGTCTTCAAGTCTGTTAATATTTCCTTCTCCTCCTCCCAATGTCTCAAAGGCTGGTGTAACATCTCTCAGTTGCTAGACAGTATACAAATTTATCTTTTTTGATTATCTGCCTCACTTCTCTATGGGCTTCTTTGTAATCCTAAATCTGTTTATGCTTTTGTCTTCCTGCTCTTGTTCTACTGCTGTTCCTGGCAGCCTTCTTCATTTTCCTATCATGTTTTACTCAGTTGTGATCCTTTCACTTTTTGAGTTTCATTTATGAAAAGTTTTCACAAATAATCTATATATATATAGGGCACTGTGGTCGGGTGCCCTATAGGCCACTTCCCGGCACCGCAGGTGCTTTGAATTTGGCAGGTTCCCGCCTTGGGGCAATAGAACATGGAGACCAGTGCCGGCTGGCCTAGATGACTAGGCCATATGGAAAAACTGTTAATCAGACTCAAAGCCCTCTATGAGGGCTAAAATAAATTGACGAACAATACCCCTAATATTTTGTGAGATCGTAGACCGACCCTGGAGGGTAACAAAAAAACTATTTTTATCGGAAAAACCCCTTAGGGTCGTTAATTTTGTCTAAATGCCTGTATTATCATATATAATACATTTGTTTGTGAAAAGGTAATCAAAGACTACATGATTTGGTCTATGTACAGGGAAGGTAACTTTTTAAAGTAATAATTTCTAAAAAAAAAATTTATACTATTTTAAATAAAAAACGGAAATCATAAAGTATATTATTCGTTTAAATAAATATTTAATTATGAATTAAGTTATGTATTGTACTGAATTTGAAAAAAATTAATTGCGAAAGTTAATTGAATATAATATTTGATTTATACTATTAAGGAAGCCTTTGCAGAAAGAAGTATTACTATTGTAAATCTGTATTAGAGCTCACAAGCTTATGATGAAAACTGTAATACTAAAGCGAACATGCAAGGCAAACTGACGCTGTAAATTACATGCCTGAGGAAAAATAAACAACCGGGAGTGATTTCCCCATAACTTTCTTGAATAGTCTTATATAACACTACAGGGGATGACAACTCGGGATATAGACATGATTTTTAATCCATTTTTGATTACTTACACTTTTTAAAAATAGAATAGAATCTCGTAGAAAAAAGTATTGCCCACCAAGTGAACGCCAAATAATCTGTGTATAATAATGCGAAATATTATTAGTTCTTTATAAATTCATATTCATTTTTTTGAAATCGGAAATAGCATATATTACTACTTCCAGTCAACGGAAATTACTAAAAATTTGACAATAGGCAGAGAATTAGACATTTTACTTATTTTTGAAATTTCGTTAATCTATCTGTAATAGTAGTCAAGTTATAGGGTTTTGAAACACCAAAAGTAGAATAAGTTCCTCTTTCGGTTACTGGAAATCACTGAAAAGTTGATACGGATCTACGATTTTGATATAATACTTATATATGAAATTTCATCAACCTAGCTGTAACGGTACTCAGGTTATCGTGTTCAAAGACATATGGACAGAATTGCAAAGCCGAGTTTTTCAGACTCGATTACGCATAGACCGCTGAAATTTTGATAAACCTGCATTTATTATTTTTGCCCGATTAAAGTAAGTCCCCTATACTCTGTATATGATGAAGTACTGAGGTGTAAAACGATGAAAACTGTCAAAATTGCAGGTGATTTTTTTTGCACGATTACAATACTTCCTTTATACTCTGTATACGAGAAAGTAAAAACAAAAAATCTAAGCCTCTTACCAATTAATTAATTATTCAAATTCTCTAAAGTTTTTTGAAAACCTAAGCGAAGCTAGGCAGTATGCCTAGTCTATATGTATAAAGCAAAGTGCTCGGGTGCCGATATGGCACTGCCCGGCGCTGCAGGCACTTCAAATTTGCTGCTCGAACGGCGAGGGCTAAAAAGTGACCACGAGTAAAATTCTCATATATGTGGAAAAAAAATACCCACTTAGGAACCATTTGAAATCTCTTAGCTATGTAAATGGGCCCCAGGGGGTCAGGAAAAAAATGCTGTTACCCCCGGGAAAACCCGGGAACAATGTTTTAACTGACCAGAGGTTATATTTCATTATATAAACATAGTACTGTTTTTGTAAAAAAAAAATACAAATATCTGGACGTACAAACCCAATCATAACTCCTAAGGTCATAGAAATACCCGCGGGGATCACTATAAAATGTGCGTTATCTTTGTGAAAACTTCTGAGGGCTTAAGAACTGACCGGTCCAAATTCCCTATATAAACATTGTTAATTTTGTGAAAAACAATGACAATTTTCAAAACAATGTTTAGGACAGACCCTGGGGCTAAGAAAAAACGATATTCCTGTCGGAAAAAAAATATTGTAGTCGTTAGATTTGTTCATAAGCCGTATTTTCTTATATAAGTATAGCAACTGTTTGTTTAAAAAAGTAAACAAAGACTACGTAATTTGTTTAATTTACAAGAGGGGAAGCATTTTTAAAATAATTATTTTTCAAACAATTTAATAGTATTTTAAACATAAACAGAAAATGAAGAAGTATAGCAATCGTTTCAGTAAAAAATCTAAATTGTAAATTAAGGTATGTATCCTAATTAAATTGTAGAAATTAATTTTAAAAGTCAATGTTATATAAATTATGAGTTATACTGTTCAGGGAACCTCTGTAGTTATAACTACCTTTCGAGTCATAAATTGCGAACATCCCATCAATTTATCTGAAAACGGACTATAAACAACAAACAACAACACCAATTTCTCTAAAATTAGCATTACTGTTTAAACGTAAGTACTCCACAGATCAGCCAATCACTAATTCATTAAGATTATTTATGCATTCATATTCTCAAATGTTTTTGAAAACCTAAGCGAAGCTAGGCAGTATGCCTAGTTGTGCATAAAATTTCATAATGTAAGTGTAAGCTAAATCTTCTGACTATGAAAAATGTTCATATATAAATGCATTGCTGCATTGTATAACATCTGTGAATGGTCTGATTTGAAACATTATGTAAATTCTATGAAAATACTCATTTTGTTCCAACCTGACCAAGACAGTGCCCTTACATATTATCAATGGATAAAAATATGTGTAATGGGTAATCTATTAAAATGACTTTTGCCAACTATTTTATATTTATCAATTTTTGTGTGTGCTTAGGTGGCTTCAAGAGACATTTGATGTCCCTCTAGTGATTCAAATGACAGATGATGAAAAGTATTTGTGGAGGGACATTTCCATTGAAGATGTTCAGAGGGTGGCCCTTGAGAATGTCAAAGATATAATATCACTTGGATTCGATGTTGATAAAACGTTCATCTTTTGTGATTTTAACTATATTGGGTAATGATATTTCTTTATTCAAAATTTTTATTTTAAAGCCCTAAGTTGTTGTTTGTCTGCAGGGAAACTGTAAAAAAAAATCCTATCCTACTGTAACTATTTCTTACACATTCTTCGGCATTACACAATTTTCCCAACCAACCAAAATTTGACAAAGTTTTTAACAAAATAGATGCTACATTATTTCTTTTATAGATAATTTAGTATGTTTATTTTGATACTGTCTGGTTAGGTCTTGTCTTGTTAGAGTGTCAAAATAACACTGCAGGTCTCAAATTGAGAAATTTTCTAAGGAGAATAAGTATATCCTTTACTTGCCAAGTCCATTGTTTAAAATGTACACAACGGATCAACTTAAACGAACATAAAGTTACGCAAAAATTGTTTTGTTCATCTTCTTATTTGTTTTTAAACTAAAATGATATGAATTTACAGTATTGCAAATTATAAGAATCTAATTTAAACTTTAATATGTTTGCTATTACTGCAAATTCTTTGGTATTAGTTTTTGAGTTACTACATTTTTATAAGCTTTTAATTTATTTAACTTGCTTCCTTGTCCAGTCTGACTGTTATCATTTTGTTATCACAGATTGAAGCGCTTGAGCGAAATTTCTAGCACTTCTAACTGACAGATTCATTTCAAAGTTGGCTTGTGGGTTAAGACATGAAGACATTGCAATCTGACATTAATTTGACTTACTGGATGCCTAATTAATTTTTTATTAATTAATTAAAAGTTCGTCCAAATTAGTAGGCAATCTAATCCAAAATCCGCACTATTATGCTCACATTATCATGTTCTTTAGGTGCACAATAGGGTTTAGTCATGCAACTCTATTTTAAATAAGAAAATTTTAGAGTACTGAAAAAAAAATTCATAAAAATGTTATAATAACAAGCTTTTATGAAATACACTAAAAGTAGAAAATAAATTATTTTCTTTAAATATAAAATAATACAATACTATTTAAATAACTAAAAAGAAAAGCATGGGTCTCTTCCTTAATATTGTTAAAGGTATCCAATAGATAATAAAGTGACCCACACTTTTCTTTATAGTTGTTTAAATAATTGTGTATTATTATATATTTAAAGAGAATCATTTATTTTCTACTTTTTAGTGTAATATTACATAAAAGCTTGTTATTAAAACGTTTTTTAATTTTTTAAAATTTAAAAATATTGAATACAGTGCTCCTGTATTTTGAATTTCTTGTTTTATATATTGCAGGCAAAGCTCTGACTTTTATAAAGTAATAGTCCAGATCCAGAAACATGTTACATTTAATCAGGTTAAAGGCATCTTTGGATTTGGAGAAAGTGATTGTATAGGGAAAATTGCTTTTCCTGCTATTCAAGCAGCTCCAAGTTTCAGTATAGCTTTTCCTCAAATTTTTAATGGAAAGAAAGACATTCCCTGTTTGATACCTTGTGCTATAGATCAGGTAAAAAGGCTGCTGGTTTTATATTTATTAAATAAGAAGCCGGATGAGTTCATATTTTCAGAAGGTTTTTAAAAAATACTCTATTTTAAGTTGAAATAAATACTTTTAAATAGGAAATAAAACAATATTTTGAAAAATGACAGAGTATAATGAGAAATTGCATAAAAACACTTACTTGACTTACAGGATCCTTACTTCAGAATGACAAGAGATGTTGCACCACGAATTAACCTGGTCAAACCAGCCCTACTTCATTCAGTTTTCTTTCCTGCATTACAAGGTGCTACCTCCAAGATGTCAGCTAGTGACCCTAATTCCTCAATCTTTCTTACAGACTCACCCAATCAGATTAAAAACAAAGTACGTGTTCATTACATTAATTGTGATCAGTTTGCAAAAGGCAGTCTTTGGTTGTTTTGTCATTAATCCTTTATGTGTGGTAAATTAGTGCTGTCCAAGCAAATGCATATGATATCCTAGTTTGTAAATGTAAGCTATGTTTGGGCATAACAATGCCATTTCTTATGGTTTTTGTTTTTAAATTACAGATTAACAAATATGCCTTCTCTGGCGGTCAAGCAACTGTTGAAGAGCATCGTGCTAAGGGCGGTAACTGTGAAATAGATGTCTCTTTTCAATATTTAAAGTTTTTCTTGGAAGATGATGAGAGGCTTGAGAAAATAAGACAGGTTAATAATATATTTTCATTTTAAAAACTAACTAATTTTTTTTTTCAGCCTATTATTGAATTGAAACATGGTCTTTATGTTTTTTTTGTTTGGTTTTTTGCATTCTAAAAAAAAATTAAAACTCTTTTTAAAACTATCTTTCCCTAGGACTATACCAGTGGTGAACTACTTACAGGTTATTTGAAAAAGGAGTTGATTGAAATATTACAACAGACTGTAGGAAAAATTCAAGAAAAAAGAAAAACTATTACAGACGATATAGCAAAGTCTTTTATGACAACTAGAAAACTGAAATTCAGCTATTAATTAAATGTGTACCTTTCTTCAAATAGTTTTCAATTTCAATGGTTTAATTTTCAAAAAAAATTTAGAGTATTGTTAAAAGTTTTTTTTTTGTCTAGTTTGTCTCAACATTAAATTTAATATACTGCTGACTTTAATTTTAAAATTTTAATTGTTCCATTTAATGGGAGGGTGAGTGTTTTCTGTACTGTGTCCACTGCATACACTTATTAAACTCAAATACGAAAAAGCACATACTAAAATCTGATTATAGCTTTATGATAATGTAGACTGTCTCTACAGCAGTCTCACAAGTGTGTGTGCAGCAGAGGGTGACACCAAATGTAAGAAAAACTCACGAGAAAGAAAGAGACAGGAAATAATCATAAGAAAAAAGTCACAAATCTATATGGAGTAATACTTTTAAGTATTCAGAAAGTCAAAATCAACATATTAATTTAATGCAATGTAAAATTTTTAGATATATCAATATATGTGTATAGGTTGCATTTGCAGTGCCGGCCCCAGGTTATTTAGCGCCCTAGGCAAAACCTATTAAAAGCGCGCCCCCCCCTCCCCTGCAAATTTTTTGTGTGCCCCAGTATTATAAGAGGCGTAGCGACCCTTCCTGGCAACTTTCGATTTGCACCCCCCCCTCAAACTTTCAATTTGTTTTTCCACCCCATTTTGGCGCCCCCTACGAACAGCGCCCTAGGCGACCACCTAGTTTGCCTTATAGGTAGTGCCGGCCCTTTGCATTTGTATGGTAATATTTTTAACACATAAAATTATTTACTCTGAAATATGAACTTAGTTTTGTAATCATGTGTGTGTGTATATATATATATATATATATATATAATCTATGGTCTCGGTCGCAAACCGTCTATCTCCAAAAAATTCAATTTTCGTTTTTTTCACATTATTTATTTATTTTATACACTGAACATGTTTTCTTTTTATTATTACTTTCTCGTATATACGAAGTATAGTAAAAGTTTTGTAACGTGCAAAAAAAAATAGAGATTTTTGAAAATCTCGACGTTTTACACCTCACTGATATGGAAAAACAATTTTGCAATCTTGTCCGTATGTCTGTATGTGTGTCTCTGTGTGTAAACACGATAACTTGAGTACCGTTACAGCTAGGTTGATATTATTTCATATATAAGTATTTTATTAGAATCGTAGATCCGTATCAACTTTTGAGCGATTTCCGTTTACCGAAAGTGGTATTTTTTAAAATTTGAATTTTTCAAAAGCCTATAACTTGAGTACTATTTCAAATAGATAAATGAAATTTCACACGTAAGTAAAAGATCTAATCCTCTACCTTCTATCAAATTTTGAGTAATTTCCGTTGACCAGAAGTAGTAACTTACGCTATTTCCGATTTCTCAAAAAAAAAAAAAAAACGCATGGAAATTTATAAAGTACTAATATTATTCCGCACTATTATGCACATTTTGTTTTGGCGTTCGCTTGGTGCGCAATTCTTTTTACCATGAGATTCTATTCTGTTTTAAAAAGTTAAAGTTTAATCATAACTATATCACGAGTTCCTATCCCCTGTTGTTTTATATAAGAATGTTCGAGAAAGTTTAGGGGAGATCACTCCCGGTTTATTTTAAATCAAAGACAGTTGAAGTAACAAAAGACATCTTTATTCGAGAACGGGAATTCCCGCAGTTTAATATGTCTTTTTTTTTGCGCACGAAGGGGAATTCGTTTTTGTCTGTCGCATTAAACATAATGAACGTCGTCTTTTTTTTTTTTTTTTACCTTACTTTAGTGCGTAACTTTTTTTAAGCAGACGTTTTAACGGTACATTTAGCAGTGTAAAGTTTTACTACGTTCTCGATTGTAAAGCAAAATCGAAAAAAAAAATTCTTTTAAGAGCTTTGTTTATGTTTTATAGTTTCAAAATTTCCACCACATGACGTTCCTTTGCATCGCAAATATTTTTCAAAATCAATAACAGTTAAGAAGCCAGTTCCTAAATGTCTTATATGTTACTTCTTTCCGTTTGCTGATAAGCTTGGGGTATTATAATTGTTCACTAAATGGAAACAGGCGCATCCGCCGACGCCCCGGCAGTATTCGATTTGGCGCCCTGGGCTATCCCGTGAGCGCAATGACGCTTACGTTCGCTTAAGTGAGTGCAAAAGACTATGAATAAATTAGGGTACTATAGTTGTTTACTAAGCTGAAACAGGCGATTCAGCCGGCGCCCCAGAATGGTGCGATTTGGAGCCCTGGGCTAGACTGTGAGCACTTTGCGTTTATGTTTGCGTTTTCTTTGTGTTTCGGTTGCGTTTGGGGTCGGGTTTGGATTTGGTTTATTTCGTTTGCTTTTTTATTTTCGTTTGTGATTAGGTTTGTGTTTGCGTTTGTCTTTTTATTTGTGTTTGTGTTATGTTTGCGTTTTTTGTGTGTTTTGGTTGGACAATGCCGGGTATATGCTGATTGTGATTACTAAACACACATGTCATGGTCCTTTACAAATCTCCTGTTTCATTTTTTTTTATCTCACAATCGAATTCATCTACCACAGTGCAGTTTCTTAAGCATGTCAATATTTCCAAGTTTTATTTTTCTTCGCCTATTTTATTGCTCTTATATCAATGCCCCGAGATTATCATGAAAAGAGATAATATTCGTTCATTTTGTATGTTGATGTTCGAATATATCTGAAATTTCACATGTAAGTAAAAGATCTAATTTTCTACCTTCTGTCGAATTTTGAGTAATTTCCGTTGACCGGAAGTAGTAATTTTCACTCTTTCCGATTTCTCAAAAAAACGCATGTGAATTTATAAAGTACTAATAATATTCCTCACTATTATACACAGTGTTTCTTCCAGACTTTTTTCTCCGGGGGGGGGGGGGGGGGCACTTGAAATTTTCGGGGGGCGGTAGACTTTCTTCGGGGGGGGGGCGGACACTGTTAAAAGTATATATTTTCTATATTTTCGGGGGGGGGGGGGGGGCTTTATTCGGCGTTCGCTTGGGGCGCAATTCTTTTTTCAAGTATTTAAAATGGATTAAAAATCATAACTATATCCCGAGTTCCCATCCCCCGTTGTTTTATATAAGAATATTCGAGAAAGTTTAGGGGAAATCACTCCAGGTTTATTAGATGTAGTATTCGTAAAAATCAATCACACTATCTTAACAAAAGCAACTCAATTAGCACCCGACTCTAAGGTCTTTAACTCAGAAAGTCTTATCCCTCCTCATACAATAGTTATCTGAGTGTTAGTGGGTATCAAGCAAATAAATATAGGCCTTTGTTTACAAGGGTATGTTTTATTCTTAAGCAAGATAAACTAATAAGATATGAAATAAATGAAGACTATCAGTGTACACATTCAGCTTGTTACAATAGAATGAACACACTCGTAAAATCATAAGCCGCTATTTAGTTGTTTTATTTTCTACTTTTCATTAATTCATTATTTGTGAATTCGACTGTACCAATGCTGCCACTGAATATATTTGCTTTAAAACGTTATGGACGATAACCCCCACCCCATCATTTCCCCAAGCCCTACCCCTCCCCCACCGTGAAAGCAGCCTTCCTCTTAGTCACCTCCCCTAAGTTTAAAATCGTTTCAAACTAAATTATCTGCCCCTAATAGCCGTCACTAAACCCGGCTCTACGATTGTAAACATTTAGCGTGAACCACAGCTCACCAGACCATGTAGGAGTGGGGGTGATAGGGAGCGCGCTTACAGCTTGGTGTTTTCTAGGGTCTCCAAGAAGAGAATTATATATATAGATATTGATAAGATTTGGACGCCTCACTGTCTACTTGGTGAATTTAATAAACCACTGTTCAATTAATAATTTCCACCTTTGGCTTATAATGTTTAAGACAGCTTAGATACATCTTTATTTTACATTTTAAATTGACCTAATGGCCTAATAATATAATACAAATATAACGGAATACGAAAGCTGAGAAAGGTAGTATCGATATCGCTAATACTTTGGCCTACGGGGTCTATTTTGTTAGTCGGGTTTTTCAGCTTGTCTTGTGAACGTCTGAAGAAGAAAGTAAAACCATTTGTGAAAATAACATTAAAAATGTACCGACTCACACTAAATTCAAATTAAGTTTGAATGTTTTCCTATTAATTGATCTAAAAAACAACGGATATAAACAAAACATTAGCGATACCGCTTTTCTCGATTTTTAGATTTAAGCCTCCACTATAATGCATTACCAGAAAGATTATCTTCGTAGTTACAAAATTTAACTAAAAATCGTATAGTCTTACTCAAATCGAACCTAGTGTCATTATTTTTAGTTTTAAATCATGCTATATATAACTTAATTTCAACTTTGTGTTGAGTTATCGTATACCTAATTCAATCATTAGTAGCAAGTAGTACAGGTCGCAACATTTTAGCTAAACTCATTAAATTTTTACTATTTTAAAAAGGTTAATTTATTATCTTTGAATCTACTCGTTTACTAGTTTAATTATTAATATTCTTTAAGAAAAAAATGTATAAAAATTGGTGACATAATTCCTATAAAACTAAGGAACATGAAAATGCGGTATCGATACCGAGACATTTTGCATAGTCTGCTAAACGGATAAACCTAAAATAAATATGCTAGTTAGAATTTCTAACTAGCATATTTATTTTAGGTTTAGAAAGTTTAATAAATAGTGAGGATAATCCCACTAAACAGAGAGTTAGTCTGAATGTTTTACTATTTCAATAAGTAAATTTTTGAAAAATCACTTTTTAAACTCAATATGAGATTAACAAAAACATGTAAAAAGTTGGAATAAAAATTATACGGCGGTAACGGTCAATAACCGCTGCCAATAAGGAGGGCATATATAATTGGAATCATAATTGCGCTCTATCGTTTTTTTTAAAACAGTTAACATAGCAATGCGAACGACTACATTTGAATTAGATTTTTTAATGCACGAAAGGATTAGAGCCTGTGACGTCATATTTTATTTACTTGTGCAACTAGCTATGATGATAGTCTCTCCAACCCCACACCATGGTGTTAAAGTATATCAAAATGTCTTGTTTCCCTTGCACTTCCATGAACAACTTGATTTCATCTTTTAATTAAAATAAACCGAGAGTGATCTCCACTAAACTTTCTCGAATATTCTTACATAA